TGGGAAATAAATAAGCGTTACTTGCGCGAGTTTTTATCTCTTTCCCATAACACACACTAGCTTATTTTAACCAAGATTAGAAAATCTCTTATAATCGCAATATTCACTAAGGTCATGATACACAATTTTTTATTTTTCATATTAAGAAAATTAAAAGAATCATTAAGTACCCGTAAGTAGAATTTCATATTTTCATATATCGCTGCATGGATTCCTCATAAATGTATATTCCATCCTCGGTCATTTCATTTCATACGCCTCGTTTTATAGCTTAATTATTATTTTGTTTTAATTCATCTCTCCAGAGCATCTTCACAGCAGAATTGAACACCAAAACTCAAGTGTCAGTTTTCAATTAAACAATATCGGTATTGAAAACAAGGTACCCTTATACATTAATTCGAAAGACTGCACGTGGATGCAAATTACCGTGCATGCATGGTGTGACGATTGTCCTCCAAGAGATTCAATTGTGGGACATAAACAAAATATAACCTGTATGTGTATTCATGAATATCAGTGACATAAAATCTATCAAATTTACGACGCGGATATGTTTTTCGTTCCAGTTTCATGATAGAAATAAAAATTATCGACTTCCTTTGGTAAATACTGAAAACAAGTGCAAAAAATTAAAACTGAACTCCTAACACTAGCATCTTTTTTCACGTCACATCCGCGTAGATTTGGTGCGTCCTAAACGCGCTAATATATAACTAAAGAAACACATTTGGGTAGAATTATTTTGCACAAAACTTATCAAAATTATTATCTACAAAAGTATAGAATAGTGTCGCAAAACAAAACAATTTTTGCATGAATGAGCTGGTTTTACAAAGTAGTAGCTATATTGTTTCCTCTATGACTACGTGAGCACTAAAATGCTCCTTTATCTACCTAAACCTACTCTCTTTCTCGTTCTAGAGCGAAGATAACCCGGTTTACGAACAGTGTACGTCAGTAGCACATCCAGCAGTGACAATTGGTAAGAAAATTTTACCTGCGGTTACAAAAAATTCTCCAAAAATCTTTTTCGTTAACGCTTGTTTCCCGCAAAATACCTTCATCAATCTCTGCATAGTCACCTAAATAGTACTAAATACTGCCATCAGTACAATTTGATCTGTTTTAACAATTTAACTAAAATGACTACTAAAGCGACCTAAACAAGTAATAAACTGCATGTATACTTTAGCGCATTATTATTTTTCAATATATTATATATTTCAGCTCGGAACGAGTTATACGAATGCACAAAAAGTCAAAAAGCAAGAGTGGAATCTGATATTTACGAACAGCCTTTAGAAAACGTGAAAGTTCGCCAGAACAAGCTTTATGTTAGTGTTGACCCATCAAAAAATTCAGGAAGCCCGAAATTACATCCAGCATCAGGAACTAGCCCAAAATCTAACCCGTACATTGCCCCTAAGCCAGAACTTAAGCCTAAACCTGTAAATAAAGTGGCCACACCCAAACAATACAAAGTTCCCAGAGTGATCCAACCCTCTGAAGAAGAGCAAGCCGATATCTACGACCAACCGTCAGATTATATACCAAGCTCGACAGGAAACAACGAAGGCGAGATGGGCAAAATTGAAATACCCTTACAAGATGTCGGGGGTGAGAGAATCCATTCAATATACGACAAACCTTTACCGAATTCTCCTCCGAGTTCAGGCATTTACGATTATGCTTCGAGAGATGAACTGACATTTGAAGCTACTCGTTATCAGGCTGAGAAACCTTTTAAGCTCAAAAAAGAGAGGGAAACAAGTGGAAGTGTAAATTCCAATGGTTCATTGCACGACGCTCCGCATTATGATGTGTTGGAAAGGATGTAGAAGAATAGCCGTAAAAAAGGTTAAAATACAACGATTTGTTGGGGCACTCCAGATGTAAATATAGCAAATGTCACCATAGAAATATTATCAACGATCTTCAATGTTCGTCATATTCTTGAAATATCTAATAATCCTTCTTTGAAACCAGAAAGAAGGAAATGAGTCTTTGTATAGAATTAGTGTTAGCCTATGCCTCGTCCAAGATATAAAACAATTTACAAATTTACATGTGGCTGGGTTGATCAAAATCGCTGTATATTGTATGCTGTATGTGGGTACCACTGAAATTTCTCGTAAATGCACCATCTCAACAGTGTCCTGACAAATCGTATAACGCCTGTTTCAGACGTCGAACTTTTCATGGGCCAATCTAATGTTGATGAGCTAAAGCCAATGTTTAAGTTCATTTGCATTCGATTCAGCACATGAAAAGTTCGACATCTGAAACGGCCAGCCTAAGTTTTAATAGAGCCTTGTAGCGATCTCACACGGCTTTTCTCGTAATGCAAAAATAATTCTACATATATGATTTCATTGGGAAACACTTACATGCATGTACGCTATAGTTGCCGCTGCATATGCGTTTAAATAACATCGTCTTTAAAGTAGACAGAAGACAGTTGCATATGTACATGCATGCATTGCATGCGTAAATTGGAAAGTTTGTATTAATTGAACGCAATTATAGTATATCTCAAACATGCAATAATTATCTTCTATAATCAGTTGCTGGGCACCAGACTTAAGAGGCATAGATTGTTTTGCATATAAAGATCAGTTAGAGTACAGTCTTTTTATACTAGAAGCAATTTTGAACGTCGTTATATAATGTCCACTTATATCATTTCCAACCTTTAGATATATGATTGAGGAAATAATTGTTATGTTTTACAAGATTTACTGCCGAATTTTATTGCCGAAATATGATTCTCCACATGAGGTTCATGTTTTCAATTTACCATAGCAGCTAATTACGTAATTAAGCGAAACATGGGCTGCTTTTCTCCCACTTTACAAACCATTACCGGCGGTCGCCTTTTGATGTGAAGTGGATAATTATTGCAAAAAGAGATGATGGAAAAGCTCTGTATCTATATATAATATGGTAAACATATCGATCATCTCTATCATTGAACCAACAATGCTTCAATTAACCTTCCTCCACGGTGTTTTAAGGAACTTCCATTACTACCCCCATCGGAAGACCTGAGTACGAACTTGAGAATGCTTATGCAAATTAAAATAATCAAGCCCAATATTGGTTGAAAAAATTCTTCATTTATTACTATATGCTGACTGACACGTCTAAAACCAACAGCTAAAGTTAGTACTAAAAGGGTATGATATATCTGCCTGGGGTTAGCACTGTAGCGAAGTAGTGTTTCCTTTAAAACTCTTATTTTATCCAAAGTTATCCGATGCATTTCATTGATTTTCATTTTTCAAAGACTTCTTAAACCAGGAGGCGAAATAGAGTTACAGCGGATGCAACGTACACTTGTCGTTAAATCTTTATTGATGTTTTTAAAAAAGGAAAAGATGATTATGGCAGTTGTTGTAAAAAAGCGGAATTAATGTCGGATTCCTGAAGCCGACCGATAGCAACATGCATGCATAATATTAACAATTTTCTTTGTTCATCGACACCGATACTTCATACTAAAGCTCCCGCTCGTAAACGAAGGTTCAAACATCATATAAACCGAAAAACTGAAAAAATTCAGTTCGGACTCCATCCATCGTGTTCTAGCGGCTTGTTGCAAAGATGGCAAGAAAATTTCGGCGTATTTTATTTGAGATTGCTCTTGTAATATCGATCTCAAGTGTATTGTCGAAACGTGTTCAGGTCTACAGATTTTCTAGAAGAGATATTTTCAATAATCCAGAATATTCTTCTCATACAGAATGTGGTACGACGACATGCACAAAATACCAGGCAAAGTGTTTGGAAGACGGAAATTGTTGTTTCTGTCGCTGTAATTCTAAGTTTTCGACGTATAACATTTCCCGGGAAGAATGTGTATTGGATGAAACAATATTGTCAGCCGGTAATTATTTGATTGACATTTTAGACTATATTTCATTTTCGCATCTGGATGCACTGACGTATAGCTAGTTTATTCACAGCCTGGTACAGGCCTGGTAAATCGTTTAAAAAAAGGATAGCCCATGCAGAATATGAGGTCGACACGCAGTCTACCATACTGGCGTTCTAGATACTAAAAGTTTAGTCCGGCTTTTTAGATCTGTTCACTGTTCACTGTATGAAGTGGGCTTTGATGGTCAGTTGACACGATCCAACTTTGTCGGATCCAGTTTGCGTCTGACGTATAAAACTATACTGCATTGGATTGATTTGCTACCATACATATATATATTGCATTAACATATGCACTGCAAGCTAACAGGCTTTAAAACAGCCATCACAGGTGAATTGCATGCATCGGACAAAATTGAAATCGTGAACGGATACTTCAAAGATAAGAGCAATTTACCAATAAAATATTCTTTAGTGAAATCCCTTATTTATCATTATCATCTCAGTAAAATCCCTTATTTATCATTTACCATTGGTAGAACCGTACAACTATTTTAACTTTTTTACGATCATAGACAGCGCCTTTCGTTTCGTTTGCGAGGATGAAATTCACAATAGCATACCAATGAGAACACTAGGTGCACCGAAAACCTTGGGCATTATTGTATCAAACAATGGCAGAAATTCAAAATTAAAGAAATGCCGGTTTTTAAAAAAGGAGTCATATTACTGGTCTGATAAACCGCCTGGAGCCTGGAAACCACTAATGGAGACACCCAACGACGAGATGTTTGAAATACGAGCAACAAAGAAGAACCTATCCCTAAAGGTTAACCTAAGTATCATTTTTAGTAGTCAAAATTTAGTCTCAGTAAAATACGGTAACAGCAAATATGGCGGACAAAGAGGCCGCATGCTCCGCAACATAGCTGCTGACCCTAGTATATTACTATGGCATTTTCGGGTACATCTATCAGGCCAGCACTATTAGCTAATAATTCGTCATTCAAATTAATAATTATGTATATTAATTCACATATACATAGTGGGTTTATAAAAATTCTACGAAAAGTTCGTGGTTTCATGGCCGTCTTTTCCGCCTCGGTATTCAATGCAGAGAAATGACGTCGACCATTATTTTCAAGTCAAGAAAAGACTGTAAGTACGGCCACAATGTATATTTTTTATATATGTAATATAAGTTCACGTAAACTATTCACTGTAGAAAAGTACCCACTAAAATTGATATTTCAGCGAATTGGATGCTTTGCATCTCTTTTGTTTTCCTTTAGACAACGAAGAATACTTTATTGGGTGTTTAAGTCCAAACAAAGAAGCAACCACACCAATAGTAACGTTCAACAGCAGTGGAATGACACCAAGAAAATGCAAAATGTTTTGTCAAGAGCATGGACATTCTGTGGCATTGTTAAAGCATGGAGCACAATGTTTTTGCTCAGAATATAGCCACATTGTATCTTGGGAAGAAAACAAGTCTTCCTGTTCAATTCCATGCACTGGGGAAGAACAAATGTTCTGCGGTGGCAAAGAAACATACTCTTCCTATCGAATCGTACCAGGTAATTTTTGTTCTTTGCATGTTTCCGTTGCCGTTTCTTTTGCCGTTTGTGTGTTGTTCACGTCATTGCCGTATTTATATGCTAGCTTTAAGTTGTTGCAGTTGGCGGTTTTTCAGGGCAGTCGACATGACCTCGATATGCTCGCTGCTGTTATTTCTGCTGATTTCGCTAATGCTTCTGTCTTTATAATTATTAAATATTTTGTTTTTGTTAAATACTGTTGTCGTTGCCGTTGCTATTCGGATGCTGTTAATGAGTTGTTGTTGTTGTTGCATGTCGATAAAAAAAGATTAATAAACAAGACGACATTCAAGGGGATATTAATCATTAAATAGTAATTTATCTAAACCTTTGTGGATTAATTAAACCGTGTATCAAGTAGGTGTCTATAGCTCACTTAACCATTTTTTCTCGTTGCACCATATAGTCCGCTTTAACGATACGAGTTCGAAGGTGAGGACTGAATTTTATGGTTTAAATATATACTTGCATATTTGAATTACACGTTGTCTCTATACCATTCTATTCTGAATTCCTAGATATCGGTGCCTATTCAAAACGCAACATTGCACACTAACATGACAATATCAACGCCTACCTTCATCTCAAAGACTCGAGAAACAAATGATTACATCTTACCTCATGCATCAGTCCCATCTCAGCGTTTAACCACTTCAACATCTGGTTCAAAGCGTGGCTCTAAAAAAAAAGACAAAAAACATAGCAACCATTTAATCCCACTGTATATTTTCATCGGTCTGATGTGTATTCTGTGTGCTTTGACCGTCAGCATTTGCGTTTGGCTAAAGAAAAAAAAATTCACGAAAAAAAAATCCACGAAATGTTTTAACTCGTCTGTAGGACTTTCAAGTGAGTAATTTACTAGTCAAACTGCTTTCTACTATTATGTTTTTCATGCCTGGGTGTAGTAAGCACGGAAACAATAGATTTGTAATTTTTTGTCACAAAGTATTAATACTAAATAGAATAAATTCAGTATTCAATATAACTTCACCCCAGGCAAAAATTGTTCTCATCAATAGCTATTATATCAGTGAAGCCATTAGCCATAACAAGTTCAAGTTGTAACAACATAATTGTGTATTTTTCATTTCAATCTGCAACAAGGGTGATTTATTATCCATGACTGATTTATTATACCAGAATCATATATATAGTATATGCCCCATGCAGTATATGCATTTCTTTCTTTCCAGACAGGAATTGACTGTAGCGAAAAATACTAAGCAGCATGATTATAGCAACCGTATGAATTAACGGTATAACTAAACTTTTGTATTTAATGTTCCTTAAACAGACCTTAACAACCTTGCCTGGCAGACGGACGCGGAAACGTCAGGTGCGAATGAATCTGGTCGGCAGATCATCATCGATTATAGGCGAAAGAGCCGAAAAGAAAGACCCCCTTCACTACCATCCATAAAAGACACATCATATTCCCTACAAACTCCAACTATCAATACAGAATCCCTCGTTATCCCTATTAAAACACGGTCAACTTCATCCATGAACCGAAACGCCACTAGAGCCCCTGTAACATTGGTATCCATCGCCGAAGAACCGAGCAAAACATTGAAAATGGATAGTGGAATCTATGCCGAGATACCGATGACAAGTTTTAATCATTCTTTGAAGGAATGTCAACCAGAAAATGAGCCCAATGCCAACACTGACGCAGTTCATAACAGAATGAATTCATCAGGAAATGAAACATACGACTGCACTGTCGATAACTTGTTAAATCCTGAGTGTCTATACATTGAAGTACTACCGTGAGAATACTGCGAGATTCAAACTGTCAGGAAATTATAGATGATTGAATAGATGTTTTAAATAAAAGATGTTTGAAGTTTGTAGAAACATAAAAACAGTAAAAAGTTAACTATGTATAGCATAATATCAATAGCTGATTTTAGACAACCAGTCGGCCGGCATCGACTTGTTTACACTGATAGTTCTTAGCTTTTAGGTTCGTTTAGATTTTGTTGACTCTGCAAGTTGTGGTTAATATTGCTAGAATATTGACCTTTTTTCTTTGCAAAGCCTTTTATAGAGTTTGTTACCAACTAACACTCATAAAATACGCCTGAAGACACGATTCCCAGCTGCGATATACAATATAAACACGTCATTAATCAACAACCCCACGCTACCCTGCCCCTTCCTGTTTGATTTGGCAGCTACACTACACAAATATGTCAACTCTCCGGTGTTCTATGGGCGGAGTGTTGGTCGTGTGTCGAGAGTGAAAACGATACACTGTAAAACCTGGTAAAACTGTAAAACACACGACAATGGTTGAGACGCACCTGAAATGCACCCGGACCCGCAACTGCACCTGAACCCGACACCTAGTTTCTGACCCGACCGTCTCTCCTCGTGTTCCTTAATTTTCGGCGTTAAATATTTGATGAAAATGACACGCATGGACAGAAAGTAATAAAACGTCCAAGAACAACTACGTGAAATCGCTTACGAAATCGCCTTTTATGTAACGAAATTTCATTGTTAATTTTTTCAAATGTATTTGAAAATTGAAAATAAATATGAAAACTCTCAATGGGAAACTGCTTATTATTGTTTGTATATTTTCTCGAAAAATACCGAGAAATCAGTGGCGTAGCCAGCCACGACAATTTTGTCCCAGTGGTATGCTAATATTTTGGTGTTCATTGACTGTGAAAACAAATTTCTAATGAAATAAATAATGTGATAATAACGTAAAATTTGCACAGTTGGACTAAATCGTCAGGCTGGCTACGCCACTGAGAAGTCGAAACAATCAACTTTCTATATTAGTTTCTGGCATTCTGGGCCACGATTATCAGTTTGCCAGCAAAATAAACTGTTCTTTGTTCGTTATGCATTTTTACCACTTCAATAAAATGTAACACGTGGTAATCATGGTAATCATAAAGCCTAATACCTGGGGCCAGAAGTATCATGACTATCATCAAAATTCAGAAACTCATTAAACAATTTAACTCACGATCCACGACTTCTTATCCACGGCCCACGACACACGCTAATGGATATAATATTATGTAAATATAGTATTCACTTCCGCGACTATATAAGTCAGATGGATATGCTGAGAATAAAACAGCAGTCGTGATCGTGCTGATATGAGAATATTCTAAAATTCCGTCAGACAGATTCAGATTGTATTCCGTCACACAGATTCCAGATGTTGACTGGTCGCCTTTAATGGTTCGGCAGTATAGCGAAATACGCAGAGGTTCATTTGTGCGCTGTTTGTGTCCGCTACAGTCAATTTAATATGTATGAATGCGTATGGTTTGCGTGTATAATACGAATGTGCCTGTGGTTCGCTGTTCTTGCTAATAGTAGTACCGTCGCAGTTCCAAAGAAACTCAGCATTGATCTTCGGGAATGGAAAAGCGAATGTGAGTAAATTTATAATAATAGGCTTTTTATAATAGTCAAGTGAACTAGTTCTTTGTATGTCGTAATGCGGGTTGAATTCAATTAACTGTTTGAGCACTTTAAATATTTTGATGTGATATCACTATTTGCAACTGATATTACGTTGTATCACAAAATATCCTGCAGAGCATAACTAATTCGCCAATTAATTAACTAATTTACGCATTTAGGGTGCAGCTATGTACGTATAACGCAAACTTTTAATTGCTGAACCAATCACTTTTATAGAAATTGAAACAGAAGATTTTCACTACATTGTCGCAAAAGCAAACTGAAACATATGTATAGTGCTTTGTTTTCTGTTAATATCAGTATATTGTGTATTATACTGGTTAGTGGTTACGTAATCGTGTATTTGGTCATAATTAATTAAATGCTAAATCACTTTGAACGCAGGCTCAGCCAATGTTATTTTTTATAATGTAGTTTAAAATAACCTTTAGTGTGTCGAACTCACTGTATGGGTAAGTGGTCGAACTGGCGTTTTATCAGTAACACAATTTTGCTTTTCTTACAACGGTAATTAATCGCCATTTTAGGAGTACTGCATTTTTTGTCTGGATACGTCATAGGGGATTTTTATTCAGTGCAATATGTCACGCACAGCGTTCTTGACTTCTTGTGAAACGTGCTGTCATTCTCATGCATCGACTCCACGCCAAATATATATACTAAAATCTAAATATCTAGTATAGCCATAGGTCAGTGGGCTTATCCACTGTTCCGCTTGGAAATCCGCCTCAAAATCAGTTTTTCAAAAAGCATATTTTCTGCACAAAGTGAATTCAGTCTATTGTTATTTGTGTTCCAAATGGTTGCTGTTGTCGTTGAGAGTATATAGATGTATATAAAGCTATTCTATACACATATAACAATATTTCCAACGTTTTACAAAAAACTGTTTTGATCTATTTTGCATTTTTTTTGCCTCAGGTAATTGCTCGTGTTCAACTGAAATATCAAATTGTACAATAAACGAAGCCTATTCCATGAGGGGCAATCTTTGGAGGAAGCGAAACTATCCGCCAGAGTTGCTGCCAAAATCATCGCGGTTTTTATCCGTAAGTTTAGTTACAGTACATAGTTTATCAGTTATAATCTATATGACTATATATGGTTGCTCGTTGCCGCTAGTGAGAAACGTCAGGTTAAAGGTTACTGGTGATAGAGGAACTTTGTGAGGAGTGAAAAACGCGGGGGTTCACGCCCTTCCCTTTTATGGCTTATTGGGTTTTTAAAGCACAAACTTCGTAATCGTGTTGTTTTCGCCCTCATCGGATGCATAAAGGCATAAACTAACAGCACATCCAGATAATTAGTATTGGCAACCATTTTTATATTGTCAATCAACCAATATAAAAGGAAAATGTTAATTCCGTCTGAAGGATATTCCTTGTTTATTTCTTTCCGATGATGGCCTTTGCTTTGGAGTACGGTTTCTTAACTCAACATGTAACGATTAGAACCGTTTTTATTTCCTATACACCGCGGTGAATCAGACGGAAATGTGTGATCAATTTGTTTCTTTCCTGTTAGGCCTGTTTTCCACATCAACTGTATCGTAACGTAACGTAGCGTATTTCTTTGTTTCCGAAGTATTCGACTTGAACTGATGACTTTAAAACAATGAAATACGCTACGTTTCGCTACGATACGGTTGAAGTGGAAAACGGCCTTTAAACTAGGAAAAGTTCCCTTTTGAACACCCTCCCGAGTGTCTTCGTTGATTTGCAAATTTTTAGTTTTGCGCTTTTCAAGTTTACCCTTCATAGTTGGAGGAATAATGATGAATAGCAGTTCTGACGGTACTCAGGGTAACATTCGCATAAACCGCCTAACTGACAGTAGCATTGCTTTGAAACCAATAAGGTGTCGGGGACTTAAAGCGTTCAGATATCGTGCAGGGAAGGCCACTATCGGGCATCTTTAAATCAGACATTCCGCATTCTTGAAAATCTTGTCGCGTTTCGAAGTATAGCTGCAGTGAATACTGAATTTACAATTTCGACTTCGAGCACCTAATGTAGACCTGTAAACCTACCATCTACCTTAATATTTTTATTTAGGCTATATTATTTCACCTGGGTACAACCTGGTAAATACGAGTTGTAGACGAAATACATTATCAATAATCCATAGATTCTAAATTTGTATTTCCTTTACCATATAGTGTGAACCAAACCCAGACAAATTTCGATACTTCTTATTCAACCTCAGCTGCAAAGGAGAACGTGCGTACGTTATATATAAACGGAGTGAGCTCAGTAAGTGATTAACATGCACCATTTTCTTATCCATTGCATTATATGGAGTTCATTTACCACGCATGCATAAGCCACCACCTATAACTGCTGCATCTTAAAAGTTAGCACCATTTTGCTCACATGCCTCCTAACCATTTCTAAAAAGGCCCAGGGTTGTCTGGATACTAAAATAAGAAATCAGCTGAATGAGACTAGTCCTTAGTCCTCTTTTACACAGTTTTGCTTTTAGCAACGGCATTTAACGCCTTCGGCAACGAACTGGGAGGAAGCAAACAATCCACAAAATGACTAGGTTGCGCGCAACAAGGCCTATAATGTGGTCTGCAGTTGCACTTATAGGCTTAACAGTTAACACAAGCCCAAGAAATAACTTGTTCGATATCTTTTTCTAGTCAACATACAACTTTTATCTACATCACGTCCATCAAAAAAAGTGAGAATAAAAAAAGCATTTTGAAAAATAAAATTACAATTCACGTCTTTTAACGACATTCTACTTGTTCTTGGCATCGAAATATTTATTTAGACTATTCTTCAAAAATTTAGGAAAGAGGGACTAATCGCAATCCTCCGAACAAATTAGCTATTGGTCTGTCCGTTGGTTTTGCTTTATTGGTAACTATTATCGTTTGTTGGACATGGATTCATTGTCGAAGAAGAAAAGCGAAAGAGTAAGTGTATCTGGAACTGAGTGAATTTAAGTGATTAAGACAAGTGAAAGGCGGAAACAACAAATGTTTTATAATTAAAACATTTATATCAACTTCTTCACATCCATTTGAATTGTCTTGACATTTCTCATACTCTCATGAGGAATTTGAATAATTATGAAAATTGTACTTTTTGCTGTAGAAAATCTGATAGGAAGAATCAACATCCAGAACATGGATATATTGACGGTGAGTATCGTCTGCGTAGATTTGATAAAGAAAATACACGAAAGCATTCATGCATGACATCATATGATCTTAAAGCTTGAGTGACCATTGCAATTGTTGGGGGATTTTAAACAAAAAATGCGGTTGCTCTTTGCAGAGGAAGAGGACAGTGTCCCGTACCGTATCGTGGATCTTCAGACAAATATTTCCACTGACGCCTCGGGTTATACCTTCCTTGAAGCAAAAAAGGACGAAGAGCAGCCTTACATGAAGTTAAAACCAAACTGTAGCAGAATTCATAATGAGGTATTGACAATGATGAAATAATTTTTAGGGGCTGTTCACACAGATGTATTGAAAAAAGTCTTTTTTAAACAGCCTCACTGTATATATGCTTAGTTAGGATGATAACACGACTACCAGGATCGTGTTATTTACTCATTTCAATACCTCAAAGTCCGTTGTTTCGTTAAATCTCGGTAACTGGGCTCATGTGAACAGCCCCTTAGTGTATATTCGAGAGCATTTTTCATATAGCAAAAAATCTCTGACTGATCTACTGAAATAACGACCAACAAACATTGGCATCTTCATATAGGAGGGCGATATGGGAGAAACAGAAAATGGGAACCATTCCTTCGAAGGTAATGTTAGGATTATATATTGTAGTATAATGCTTAAGGCGAGATTAAAATCAATTCGAGGCACGATAAACATCCATCAACGAAACTACCTCGTTGCGCCAGGGAGAGGACTCTTTTAAATGCAAGACGAGAGGCCTCAAGTCCCTTGTTAAATAACATAGCGAACGAAAGAATATATGGATATTACCCACCCTGCCCCAAATTAGGCGTTTAGCTTCGCCTTTGCATTCCATGCGAGGTAATTAATATGTGGTAATATATGTGGTGATATGTGGTGATATGTGGTGATATGTGGTGATATGTGGTGATATGTAGTGATATGTAGTGAAATGTGGTGAAATGTGGTGATATGCATTCCGATACTCCATTTCAGAAATCGCTGATGAACCTGTGTACTTTATGTTAGAAGGAAAAGGAAAGTCATCAAAAACGTGAAAACCTATGTGACACGAAACTTCAACGATATATATACAACATAGGTTTTTGAAATTGTGTGATATATTTATAAAATTAGGGAGATTTAGTTTATTTAAATACAATAAAAGAAAGGGCACTAAACGTCAAATGTAAAAATTCATTTCCCAGTATGCGAATGAAACAAAAAGTATTACTCATTAATCTAATAAAACCAGGGAGCAGTGTGAAGTGTTTTGTCCATTTTAGGTAGTTGATGGTAAGTTCATGAACCTAATATTATTACAATCCATCCTTAGTGGTAGCATTCTAACCAAATTCACATAAGTTTCATAAAAGATGATGAAAAGAACTAGCTAGTCACGAAATGAACAAGGCAACGCAGTTTTACGCAGTTTAGCAGGGATTTTTTCCTCAAAGTCAGAGTATTTAAATATTGTGAACCACGCTTTTACGGAAATGACTCAGTGGGTGTACATGGCGAAAATGGCGCCGTACGAACCGGAGGTCACTGAGAGAACAGCCCCCTTAATTTACAGTGATGAAAAAAAAAATGCCCCAAAGAACCTCACTAAAGCCTTATCCCCGCCCCTCCACCAAACTAGCTTCCACGCTCCTATATTAAAAATGTGACATTAATCGGACAAACTCTAATAGGTTTAGTTTAACAATGCCACACAGCTGCACATGCTAATTTACTTAAAGACCGAATCTAGCTTATTTATATATAAACGTATTACCTATATATTCTAAATATATCAAATGTATTTTGAGAATGATGAACTTCGGTCGTTTCGATCTTCCTTCAGTGTTTTAAAGATGATGACGCGTCAGCTGGTAAAAAACAAGTCTATCGCCAGTTTGACTTCCTTCCTTCTCTTTTTATATAATTATATCGCATTCCTGTCCCGTGATAAACAATTTTTAGCATCTATGATTTATTGGTTGCGAGTCAAATGCTAACCAAATGGATAAGGAAAATCTTATGACAAATTCCTCCAGTAAAAAAAATATAAATAAAAAAATATTGGTAGTCAAAAAAATACCTTTTTTAGAAGTAAGAACCATTGAGCAGTTACTACTCACTAGACTACGAATTTGTAATCACAGAGATTACCAGTAGCAACCTGGCGATAAGCGCCCTGATTTTAAACATTTTGTATAACATGCATGGCTTTATGCGGTAACATGTTTACATTTTTCAACGGCTTACCACCAATAATCAATCTTTAAAATCTTTGTATATATTTTAACACATATTAAGTAAGTATAAAAGATAAAAATATTTTGAAATCTTTATCTTCCAGTATTGCTTTGACATGAGATTAAGAAGCCCGATGAGATTAATTTTGATAGGTGAAAATCGCAAGTACAATTTATTAAGGTGATTATGCATGCAACGCATGTGTGTGAACTGCGAATCGTATATGGTAGACTATGAGATTATCGTTATCTTTATTAGTAATAACATTATGGTTGTGTTGTACTATTATATGAAACAATGTATTCCATTTATCAATATCAATAATTTCGTTTCAATAAAGCTTGTTATAATTCCTCGTCGCGATGGCGTCGATAATGTAACGTGATACCGTGGATCACTCCTTGGAACTTAAAAGTCTAGTATTTCACCATTTCTAGAGTGAGTAGAAGCGACGGTTGGATCGAGATCAATCAATTTAAAACCGCAAGATTAATACATAGACAACACCCGGGTCAATAATGATAATGACGATGCATGGACGACACTGTACATCTTATCACAAGTGGCAATGACTGAAGACCACCAACTGAGGTTTTAGTGGTTTTCACTTAACCTGTGACTTATTAAAATAAAAACCCATCTATCTGCTTGATAGGGTCTCATTCAGAGCAAGATAAAATTGGCTATAAAACATTTTGCCGATATGGAAGATGGCCTTGAAGAACTATTTTCATATATTATTCTATATATTTACCCCGCCTCAACTCCCTCCCCTTCTTTCGATGTTGCAACTTAATCAACCAAAGTGAACCGACATCGTTTTGTCATGTCATATTCTGTGTGGAATTAGCCATAATCCGGCTCGGGTTGCAAGCAGGCTAGTTTGGAATGAACAATGATTAAATAAGCTAGCCAGCAAAGAGAGGCACATAATGGTATGAAATGTAGGTATACTGCACAGTCTGCACTATCCATCTTATGTATCAGTCTACTGCCTGGTATCATTTATTACTACGGGTAACTGAAATTCATCCACTTTTATATAATTCTTCGAAAGCATGAGTGAGATTAAATTTTCATTAGAAGAATAGTTGATCAATACTTCATTCATTTCCTCAGAACTTTCAGTTTTTAATTTTCAAGTGTCTTAACGTCATTCCTGACTGTTTACTCGAGCACTGTCAGACTGAACGCGAAGTCGTTACAGCAACTTATCTTAATCTGCTTGTGCAATGAGCTCGTAAAAATACAAACAATTTTGTTTGTGATCAGCTAGTCTAATAAACAGGGAATTTACAGGAGTTTCAGCCTTTCAGCCTTTCAGTTTCAGGCAGCTGGAACAAAGTTTCCAGACGTGTCCTTTTTCTAGTCAACTATAACTCCGTCTTCTCACACTCTGCGTATGGAGTTCAAGACCCGTGGACTATTGAAGGTCTATCTGAAGACTGAATTGCAATATAAAACATATTGATTGTCTCACATTCTCCACAATGGCTTCTTAAAGGTTCAGTTAATCCATTCGCGTGGTAAACAAATCAGATCACCATTGTAAAGAAAGCTTTTCTCTCTCAGCTACTAAAGAAAAGGTAATAAAACATGACCGCACTGGAACGTAGGAATTCACAGGAAGCTCTGTCTTAATCAATAGGATTACCGAGCAATCGACAGAAAAACCTAAGGGCCTGATAAGTTTCACAATTTATTTAATTGATTTAGAATAGCCTTTAGGGAGCAGACACTGAGACACCATGCAAGATCCAGTTACCCTTGCAGCTTTGTTTATACCTTCACGAAGTAATAAGGGTAATGTCGGAGTTTGCCGACTTACCCCACCCGCGGTGTTTTAGTATAGCAATGAAGTGTTGATTGAATTCATTATTTCATTTCCTATGTGAATGATAAACCTTCACCTCGCCCTTGTAAATATTCGACATTAAACAGAATATTAGATGGACGTTGGTATAATAGTTCAGTATACTCCGCAACTGAGCGTATCGAAACAAGCTACCCCGACCAAGTTCAACTCTACGAGGAATCCACACTACACAAAGTGTGAATATTGTAGACAGATTACTCAAGCATTATATAAAGCGCATCAGGAAAATAATCGTCCAATCTGACAGTTCTGACTGAAACTGTTGTCTGGATTCATCAATTACTCGATACAACCGACATCAAAGAAAAACATCAACCTCATTCAGCCAGGTAGCTACAAATTTCTGATACACAGGAGAATCAGTACACTCTAGGTTACTTGAGTATATAAAGACATATTATATGATATATTTACCCAAACATTCGATTGCATCAACGATGAACTGCATGTATTCATCAAGATATTTACGTCGTGTGGTTAAATGTTTATTTGTCTTGGTGACTCTCCTTTGTTTGTTCGAGTACGCTCATTGTGCTAATGTCGAATATGTATGTCGAATGCAAGACGGAGATCAATTCGCGAACCCTTTTCACGCGAACGGAGGCAAGGATTGCGCAAACACGAATGCTACTTGCGTCAAATCGTGGACGCACGACTGCAGTGGATGTAAATGTAATTCAGGCACAGAAACATATCGTGCTGATATTATGAACTGCGTCTCGACGAAAGTGCTGGCTGATTTCACAGGTGAGCATACTAAATTTTAGAGAGTAAGACTGACCATATGAGATGTGTATATATATATGAACATGGCACACCTGACGATGCACAATATTTCTCATACCCTTTTGTAACATTGACATTAATTAAAAAATCCAGGGAGAATGCCTGAGCACACGGATACCCAACGATATCGTGATTAATATACCCCGACACGTTTCTACGGATACATGTTAAAATACTTCACAAATAGTGCGCGAAATATTGGATAGTAACCTAATTTGGAGTTTGCATGATTGATATTTTCCCACTGTATCAGACCATCACTATAGGTGCTTGTTTTATTTTAATTCAGTTGTTATTCGGCCTTATTAATCGCTATATTCTGTTAATTTTCACATTTTTTGAAGAGAAAGGACATTTGTTTACGCATTAAAAAACAATTCTCACGAGTCACGACAAGTTTTCAAAGGTCATAAATTGGATCAAGTTTATTTTAATTATTCTGGGAAGAGAAAAAAGTATTCCGTTTAAAAAGATTTGAGCCTTGAGGTTGCATAGTTTTCTTCAGAGATTTTGTAGGCTATGCGCCCAAACAAAATTTTATCTTACAAATAACGCCTTTGCTTGATTTGAAAACCTTGCCGAAGATAAAAAAAGTTATATACACTGTCAACAGTCTATGACAAACAACACTTAATTGAAGTTCTCATATAACCAGCAACAAATCAAAGGTTTCTTTTGAAAAAGCATTATTCTTGACATTATTCTTTGCCCCTTCATAACATGCAGTAGGGCGCATTTGTTCGAATTTTTTTGCCACTTTTATTAAGGTGTTACACTATATTGTTTTTGACAAGGCCGTTGCAGGAGTGCAAAAATTAAAAGCCACATTGTGGTGCACAATATAAAAACATATTAGTTTGAACGGATTTCCGATGCCGCCTGATCAATCCATAGATAATATGAATATGATTTACGCTACCGGCCATGTTCAACCCGTATTACAGTCAACAATATAACAACTTAAAATATCGTTCACAAAAATGACAAAATGCCATTTCTATCCCCACATATAATGTGCATATAATTTTAATTTATATATTAAATTGTTACATTCTTTGCAATTATTGTCACAATTTAACTTCAATAAAAAACAATGCTGACTCTTCTGATATTATAAAGAAATCCCCCACGCTGACATAATTTTAGAAATGACGGAGCTTCCTTGTTTACGAGAATGTTAATGACATTAGGAATTTTTCATCCTTCTTTAAGAAAAATATTGGCCTCCAGAACTAATGCGTTAAACCGGTCTCCGTAACGTAATGGAGTTCCTGTCCCACTCAATGTTTGGTTGAGCCTGAAGGATACCGCTTAAAAACTGCGTGATTGATTATTTTTAAAAACAAAGAACACACTTACACACCCACACAAAATCCTGGTATCATGCACTATCAAGTATGAATCAACCAAATGGTTTTGTTGAGATTTAATTTTTGAGATAACAAAGCGCATTTTGACAAGATCTGCATGCTGCGGGTGATTCAAACCGAACTGATATTGCAGCCAGGATCAAAATTGCTGTGTAATCGCTATTCATTAGGCTTTGTTTACAACTTTACACAGTGGTTTACAGGATCCCGCTTTGCCAGATTCACCTGAGTGTGAATTTTTCAGTATTGAAATATTATGATTCTGGTGTTGTAGACAAAAGCATGTGTTTGTTTGGTTCATTTGACGAGCATCAATGAATTTGGCCTTCTTCGTTAATCTGATAGAACAGAAACGCAGAAAACAATAGGGGAAAACGGCGTTTCAAGACAGTATTTGTACTCCAGTGCCATGCGAGCAAATTAGGAATGCCTAATTTTTAATATCGCGTTACCTTCTCTGTGGCGTCTGTGCCTAGTTTATACGTCGCATTATGCGACCAAAATTTTAGTCGGCAGACTGCAATCGGAATATATCAGAACAGCGCATCGTGTGCGCCTGGCTTATTAGAACAATACTCAATGCCAATGGTGTCAGTCTGTCAGATGACATATAGTGGCTCCTTATGGATGCTCCTGTTTGCCCGTGTTTATGGACTAACGATTTATTAAACAATTTGTAAGCAGCAGAATCTTTTTTCCAAAGTTCGTCCTAGCAAATAATCCGTACAAATAGAGCCAAAGTTGATGCGATATTTCACCCGGAGCCCGAGGTGTTGAATAATTCGTCAGGCTTTGTTTGAATATTTAACACGTGCAAGGGCAAAATTGACTTATTATTAGTGCAACTGAAACCTAAAATGGCAGGCTTTTTGTAGGATATTTATATATTGTAGACAAATTAAATGAGGCTGCCTTGCATTAGTCAACACGTATAGGTATTAAACACGTTTGTACATCATCAGATTTCATTCAAATATGCACAACACATATAAACACGTAAAAACAGATATAAACAATCTAACCATACTGTACGCAAATATACTCACACATTACTGGATACCGTTGATTTCTGCTGTGTTCCGAAGGAATACTGGAATAGCTTTTAAATTCAATGATACAATCATATAAGTGATATAACTGTAGTGCATGTTATAACAAGCACGTTCGATTGCCAGTTAATTTCATGATTTTCATCCATTTTACTTTTCAAATATGATATTGAACCACGATTGGTAGAATAAGATCACGTGAATAAATCATGTTGTATAGACCCCCTCCCATAGCCAAATGTTTTTCCGCTGAGAATAGTATGCGTAAAAATCATCAGCAAGTGTGCATGTAATTAACTGTCAAATAGATTTTGTATTTAAAAAAATTGCTCATAAGTCATAACATCGCATCAGTCAGCCAAAGGCTGGGTCCGCCCGTCCGGTATTCACCCAGGACCCTCCTTGGGCGAGGAATTCATATTTTTTTTGTTCCATGCATACTGTTAAAACTAAATCATTCAAAAGAAATCAGCCAGGTATAAGACGAGTATGCATGAATATGTACACAAATGACGAATTTAATTAAATGGCTCTTTTTATTATATTTTCCAAAATGGCCCTATTCTCGAACGGGAATAATAGAGGGGATAATTTGTGATGTCATAGGGTACGGTCAGAAACGCCGCAGAAACTAGACGATGAATTAGGGGGTTGGTTTATGTATTAGTTCTGTTCCCGTCTCGGCCGTCTGTTTTTTTCGTCCGATTTCTATATACGGTATGTGATTTGTTTAATATGTCCATGCAACTCTTCTCATAGACAATGATTATCATCGCTTCTCACGAAGTTAAAAAAACTCTCTAAAGACTGAACTCTGTCTCATGAAAACTATTCTAAAACAAGACCGGAACGGCAGAAAAGTCTCCATTGTGTTTAACTATATTTCAGCAAAGCCGCTCGATCTGTGAGTGAAATACATTCTAAAAGACAAACCCAAATCAGCCCGGATTGCGGATGATACCCCCTAGAACGGCCTCTGGATAAAGATTCAGTGAATGTAGCCTCTTCCGCAGGCATTTCTTATCTACAGTGAATGTGTTATACATACATATTTGCTCCAATCACCTCGCCATCGTTTAACAATCAATTCTCGTGCTTATATAATTTAGGCTGTGGTGGCAAGGGCATAAGGGACGATGATCCACAGCTCACAGATAAAACACTTCCGACGTTAGATTTCACGAAAAGTGGAACTAAAAATATTCGTGGCCTTTTACGCATCCATCATGGTATACCGGTTAATGATATAACGTGTAAAATCAAGAACAATACAAGTTTCCTTAGCGATGATGGCAACTGGATAGCACTACCTAACATGAGTAATATACTGACTATTACGCCAAACGAGGGACGTGACACCGATCCAGCTCACCTCACAATGGAAGTAAGAAAATTTTACATTGTCGTTGCCTTGCGTTTTCAACAGTCACACTGAATTACTAAGCAAATTATTTTGTCATACCTTTTGCTTTTCTTTCTAACAAGCAAAGAAATGATGCAGAAATAATCAGTAACCTGGTAAAAATAACACAGACAACTATATTTTCACTTCCTGCCCACTAATTTTTTATATCTTCGCATGCTCATTTGCAGTGGGAAGAAGTTAACGGTTTCCTGTCTGGACTTTTATTGAAGCTACAAATTTCTTGCCACACGAAAACAGACCCCCCTGAAAATGGCTGCTTTGTATTTAAAATTAAAGATTGTAAAAATTATGGTAAGTGGATATTTCTCTCTGGTACTCTCTCATCTTTTGGTATACACTTCTAACGAACCATCTGCAATGTCGAGATGAAATCCACAAAGCTATTATATGCTCTAAGCTATCATCACCTTGATTTAAATTTGAACATGTTTCCAAACGTTGGTATAGTCGAAATGTAAGTTATGGAGGTTAATTGTCTAAAGGTTATCTCTTTTTTTTTGAGAAAGAGCTTTCCCAAATCATTGTTCTAGTTAAACACTTTCAGTTAAGACAAATACAAAGGGTAGTGTGGTGCCCCGTATTCGTTCCTACCCTTCCTTCCCAGTTTTTGGTCCGTGCACTGATGACAAGGCGTTTTAATTAAACATAATAAAACTGTTCCCCGAAAGCCAAACGTAATTCTGTTAATCGCTTTTTAAGATCTTTCTTCAAAGATGATTTCAAGCACAAAAGCACTCACAATTCATACAACAAAAGAAGTTAATAGGGAAACTACTGAATCAGAGGTACTGTTAACCTTGTCTTTGTGAGTGTATTTGTCCTGCCCCAGCACTCAAAAAAAAATGTCCTAATTCTGAAATTTTGTAGAAACCACCCACAATGGTCTCAACGACAGTCGTCAATAGCACGAAGGAGAGCGTAGTTAATAAGAACTACACGTACAGTGTTTCAATGCCTGTGATCATCGGTATTTCTGCTGGTGTTGGCCTGGTCATCTTGCTCATCATTATCTTGGCTGTATGCTTTGTTCGTCACAGAATCAGGTACGCGCGTACATTGCTGTTCAACTCGAGAACTCTTAGGTCGAAGAAACTCCTGGTCCTGGCCTGGTAGCCTCGTTTTAGTGTTACGGCTTATTTTACATTTATTTGTCAGGTTAAAAATTCTTTTTCATGCATGTGTTGATGTACGACATGATGTGTGCTCGTGCTCATGCTAAACACAGACTGTTTTCAGTTTTTAAGCTCGCCCAGACGTCACTACAAAGAAATCATGCTTTACCTATGATATTACTCTGCATTATAGGAAGCACGAGAAAGAAAAACCATCCATTGCTAACCCTGATGCTCCAATAAAAGGTGATGATTTACCATCGAACCGTTTACCCTACGGCCTGCCCTTTAAAACAATCAATTTGGAAGAAAAATTAAAGTACAAGGCACGAATATATGAGCATGTCTTTCTTTGTCCCCCAATTATCGTACTTGGTACGCCACTGAGTAGAGGTGCAAGAATACTGTGCGGCAAACAGTTTTCATCAAAACCGAGAGTGAATAAATATTTAATTATAATATTTTGTTTAGTTCATTTCACGGCAGAGACAAGATTCAGTCTAATTCAAGAAGCTGGGCCAGTGAATACTGATGATGAAGATTATACTAGTTTAAAAGAAGACAGAGAAAGTTACGAGCCTTATTATTCACTGAAAAAAGATGATGTTGATTTGGTAAGGGTCTAAGGAATACACTACACTATATGCACTCTACTACATCACACCACACCACATCACACCACATCACATCACGACGTCACATCATACCACACCATGCCCACCACATCACACAACATCACACCACTTCATACCACTTCACAACACATGCACCACACTACGCTAACCCACGTTACATTACAAAACACTACATCACGCATAGTTCTGCATGTTACATACAGTTTTCTGAGTATTCCACATGTATAAAACCTTGCTACATAATTTAAACGGGTCCTATCAAATAATTTCTCAATTTCTTTTCCAGAATGTTATTGACACAATTCTGAGGGATGCAGTCTCGATGGGTATAGATTTTAGTCCTATTCATTCCTTCTGGCTTTCAAAAGAAGGCCTGCTTATCATAATCTATTAATCTATTCTCTCAATGGAGTCATGCATGCGGCCGGTTGTTCAAAAGCCGATTAGCTTAACCCTGGATTAACTCAAATTTTTACATCAGTTTTTTTAATCGCTTGGTTATGCAGTTGAACATGTTTTCCCATAAATATTTTGTGGATAAATAGAAGTCTTATTTTGAAAAGTCTTGAAGCGAACAGCGGTGCAGAAGCATATAAACCAAAACAGCGGAGTAAAATTTAACCCAGGGTTAGCGCTAACCTAGCTTTGTTAGCCCCAGTGACCACTTGTCCAATGCCATTGATTATGCTTATTTTTACTCACGGACTTAACACAAAATAGTCTCTTATCCGTTCATTTTCCACTCGTATTCTTTACGTATTTAGAATGCATGAGTCCTTCTGCGGAGCCAAGATACAATTGCCATTTAACAAAGGATGATGCAATCGTGATAGAAAGCTCAAGACCTCGTTCACCTAAGCAACCGAATTACCACGTGCTTGAGGAACCTGGCGATGACATCGATCCTGATTACGAAGAAGTGGATGATGACGATGACATTATGACGTCACAGCGATTGCTCCCTACCAAGCCACCCCTCCCTGACCACGAATATCATCAGTTAGAGCCACCTCTGTCGAGATTACACTCTGATTGTTAACGTAGTAAATGTGCTTTCACGCCCGTTGCCTCAAAAATCTCGATCACGAAGTCGCGACGACCCTATATCCTAGTGTAGTATAGTATGGTATAGTATCTCCCATCCCTGGGGCCGGTTGTTCGAAAGGCGTTTAGTTTAACCGCGCTTTCCTTTATACGGTAAAAACGGCCAGACCGGTCCTGTTGTGTTTCAGTACAGACGGTTACTGGTATTTCAGTGTTTTAAGAAATCTGCACTCAATTATATCATTATTTACATCCGCCTACAACGAAAAAATAGTAGGAATTAAACTGTATAAGAAACTACAAAGGGGACATTATTTCCACGTTAATTTCATAATTTCTAGTAAAAAAAAATTCCGAAGAATTCCAAGGAATTAAATTTCGATTTTCATATTACATTTTGCCCACAAGTCCCATTATGGCCTTGACCTTGAAATGTCTCTTTGTTCGAGTCAGGGTGGCCAGGAAAAAAATAAAATAAGAAATTCAACATTTTTAGTGGTTTTGAGGGTAACAGTATTGATAAGAATTTTCTACCTGGTATGTATATACATCATATGGTATATATATGCAGCATATAGTCACAGATTTTATCAATACTTGGCACTTGTATACATCTTCTATATTTTGTTAGTTTCTTATGCAGACGTGGTGTCGTGTCGTCCTGATTTTTGTCCTTTAGTCAAAACTCAGAACTATATTCTGCCAAACTGAATTGAAGTAATCTGTTTCGGAATTATTTCGACTTATAACATACTAATCTATCCAATTTTAATCAATTTTATATCAATTTTAGTACTCAAATGTGCATGCGCGTGCGTGCCACATATAACTTTCTAAGCGATTATTTCCTCCAAAGACCAGAGTGCAGAGCAAGTACTCAACATTATAGTATTAGAAACCTTTAAAATAATATGTCAAATTTGGATTTATAATATAAAATTTTGGCTTACCCACCGTTTAAGCTAAACACCTTTCGAACAACCGGTCCCTAATCGCTAATAAAGGTTAGTAAGAGAATCATAGGACCCGTCTTTTATGGCTTTATTACATTCTTACTGAAAAAAAAATCTTTGCAAAAGAATTAATTGACAAATTTTAAAAATGAGTATATAAAGTATACATATCATGTAATCATGGAAAATATATTATTCAACTATATTATAAAGTATATATATATATCATTCATTAAAGCGAAGATATTTAATACTCCAAAAGCTCGTATCAAGGTAGAACGTCTTCTTTTGACACACATCCGTTGTACATTTTATAAATTCTGCTTTTCAAATTTCCGTGTTTTCCATTAAAGCGAAACGCAGCGGCGAGGTACGGAAACCCTCGGAAGGTGAACGGCTGCAAATCGTAGGCGCCAACAGTCAAGATTCCTTGGAATTTAGTAAATCGACCGTTTTTGAATTTGTACACCATAGAATGAGCTCGGAACTGTGTGATTTCGTCAAAATAATTCGCAACAGTGAGATACACTGTGTCATCGACATAGAAGTGATGAGCCTTAAAGCAAAGCAAAAAAACACATGCAACAGTTTATTTAGATATATTAAGGAAGATAAGTGCCAGAATAGCTTTTGATGATACTGGATTTCATCTACGTTTAGAAGTTTCTGACTTTCAGTGTTAGTTTTAATGAAACTGAAAACCAATTCAACGAACTGAAACAAAGCATTAGTTCAGCTGCGTTTGTTTTGGATGATTTAGCGAATAGTATTTGGGGAAACAGAGCTAAGCGGTCACTTTGCATACGTTTATTACAGTCTCGAAATAAACTGTGGTTACTAAGCAAACAAGCACTTGGTTAACTATATTTTAACCAGAAATATCATAATACATTATTGGCTTCGATTCCTTCAGAAAAGCAAACATCACAAATACCTTTATAGCTGCAGTTGTCTCCAGCTCTTGAAACAAAACGAATGCAGTTCCGTTCCATCGAAACACATTTGTCTCAGAATGCCAGGAGCGCGCTGTGCGATGACTTGCCAAGACTAAAAACAATCCGGCATCATTTTCGAATAAATCAGCACAAATAGCTGCCGATGTTTTTACATTCTGCACAGAGACGAAATGGCGCCCGTTCCATTGATACACCACCGACTCAGCGTTGAATCCATCGTTGACAGAGTAATAATTCGCAAAAGCCAAGAACATCTGTCCTGCTTTGCTTCGGTAAAATTTACAGTCGACTGCACCGTGCGTTGCCAATTTTTGAAAGATCTCGGGTTTCCCTTGGTTCCATTTATAAACCACCGAAAATATTGACACACTCGAGTCATTTCTATAGTTTGCAAACACGAGGTAACTCTCTCCGTTTATTTCGAAGAATTGCGACGCAGTTGCGCCTTGTGTTTCGATGTTGGTGTGATTCACGAAACTCGTACCGTTCCACCTGTATATGACTGAGGTCAATACATATGATTTCCCGTTATAGTGATTCGCAGCTACTAGGTACGAGTTTCCTTGATCGGAAACATACGTCAACGAGCGGCAGCCAATCGTCGGCAGCGTTTGAAGCATTTCAAATTTCTCTGTGGTTGAGTTCATCTTGTAGATAAATGAGGCTGTATTGTAACCATCTGCTGCTAAATAGTGATTTGCAACTGCGAGGAATGTACTATCTTTTATGTTATATATTTCCATCTTCACCGCTCCTTTAGTTTCGACTTCGTCATGAACGTGAAATATCAGTCGTTTCTGGCAGTCCTGATCAGTAGCTGGCGTCCCCGAAGATAAAGAAGACACGGTGGAAGTGAAAGTTGGTTCTGGAGTGGATGGATCTTCATAGCTATTGTCGTTTCTGGAAAGGGGTTCTTCTGGGGACGGAATTAGGTTATACGTGGTCTGGGGAATAAGGATATCTTGGAAAATATAGAATATACTGTTGAATACAGCTCAGTATCTCGATCTTGGTAATGTAATTTATTCACTAAGCTATTCTCTCATTGGGCGAGTGTTGCTATTATCAAAATGTCTTGATATCTCTATTAGTTCATTGGGTGGTATTATGCGAGGAATCAGTCAGCTTGTGGTATTGAGTGCGATCAGTTATTATGTCGCAACAAAACTTTTGCTCTACATAAATTAATATTTACCAGAATCTAAAAGGTTCTTCGCTGCTAAAATCCTGAACAGCTGTTGCGATTGTTCTTTGCTCGCTTTCATTTCTTCTTTCATTTCCTCGGCTGCCTCGATCATCAACTGATTTTTTGAGTCAAGCTCGCGAATACGTTTCTCTAACTCAAACACCTGAGTAAAAAAGCAAATATTTAAGCACCTAGTTGTTTGTGCAATACTGTCAATACTGTAATATGATTATAAAGAATGTGTTTTCACTGTTGTGACTGAGAAGGATGAGAATACTTCATAAAATGAATATTGAGTTTCAGCAATAAATTCTGACAACGTTAACCCACCGACCTGGTCTTAGATCTATAAACACTACTTCAGGGTATCCTTGTTCATCATGTTTTAGGATAACTACAGTAACTCCTTCAAAACCTACCTTATTTAGAGACCAATAAACGGTACAATCTCGACCATCCCTTCCTGGCCTACCCGGACGACCTGTGACTCCTGGGGGACCTGGTACACCTATATATATTGAGAAAATACTGTAGAAACTGAAAGGATAATCGAAAAAGAGGTTGATATTTGTGGACATATGTAAATAATTTGCAAGTTTATTATATCCTCACATGTCAACTATCAAGTTCTTATTTGGGGAATATTGAATATAGAATAGTCGAATATGTAGTAAGTCTACGCACTGAGTAAGTACAAGAATTGCTAATTGCTGATAATAAACGAATGTTTTTCCGTATTTTTATAATTTCCTACAACTATATGTTAACCCTGAGTAATCTTCGTGTTGACGATTTACTCACCATCACGCCCATCCCTGACAACACAATTTTCTCCCAAATTTGTTCTATCGATCACCTAAAAAAAAATACGGTTGACAGTTATTTGAGACCAAGTATATTTAATGATGCACTGGAAAATGAGCGATTGTTCCAATTATAGGCTCAACTAGAACAGCAATGATTCTAGCATGAAGCCAGAAGCTAGCATAGGTTTCCTTACTCCACTTACTGAACAACAGACTGAATTAATTGGCCTAAATGGCCTGTTGTAAGAAGGGGGGAAACTTAGAAGCCGGATTCAATTAGTGGCCTTCGTCTCACCACAGAGATTCTCCTTCGTATAATACTCCGCACTGCGGGGTTCATTATGCAATTTTCGCCACTATTCACCAGGCCATCACGGTTCAAAGCTCTTTGTCATGCAAATGAGTCACTATAAAAGACACCACTTGCCCAACCCACATTGTCTTTTTTTCGCGTGCATGCTACCTTGCCATCATGACCGATCAACAAGCTCTTAATCAGCGCGAAGTACCTTCAACGACTCCAAGTTTGTCTGTTGAAGCTCGCGTGGATGTTCTTGCACAGACCATGGATCGAATTACAGCCCAGTTGGCACATCTGACTGAAGCAATTAATACGGATCCCGTTGATCTAGACCTTGACGACGAACCTCAACAAATAGAAGCAGAAGTTGTTTCCGTATTTGATCCTGCTGAAAGTATTTCGCAAGAGTTAGGCAGTAAAAGCGTCGCCGAGGCTGAGTCAGAGTTACCCCATAACGATCTATACAAGGATTCTGAAGATTGCGGCCCGACGGTTTCGGAAGGTGTTGCTTCAAGAATGAATAGTGCCTGCACAAAACGTCCAGCAAAAGAGCAATTTTTGCAGATTCAGAAGAAATATTTACGACCTGCAAATTGCGAATTTTTGAAATCTCCCCGGGTTAATCCCGAGTTGTGGGATGATTTGCATGATAAAACGAAGACTCTACTGAAGCATCTGGAAACGCTTCACCCTATTGAAAGTCTGTCACAAAAACAGCTTACATTGAAAACAGTTGCCTTGGCCGCCCTTGTTTCAGCTCAACGAAGTCAGACACTATCGGCATTATCCCTACATTCTATGGTGAGAACGGCGGAAGAATATCGTTTCACTGTTACGGACATTCTGAAAACTTCACGTCCTGGAAAATCTCCGTTGAACGTCTCCTTCCCTAGATTTTCAGACAACAAGAAACTTTGTGTTTACAGTTGTATCGATTATTATATTCAGATTACGAACAGTTTTCGGGACTTAATTCCAACGCGGAATCTATTTCTTTCCTTCGGCAAACCACACAAAGCGGTGTGCGCATCTACCATTTCTCGCTGGTTAAAACTTACCCTGGAGGAAGCGGGAATTGATGTAGCAACTTTTACTGGCCATAGCTATCGCTCGGCATCTACGTCGAAGGCCTGTAAACAGGGAGTGCCCCTTGATGTGATTCTTAGAACAGCTGACTGGACACATTCTGGCACCTTTCGTAAGTTTTATAAGAAAGACGTTTATCAGGAAGATACATATGCGAGGACTATTCTAACTGTGTAGTGCGTGTTTTATGTCCACCATATTTGGGTTTTGTTGTATTTTTTTTTTTTTCATTCATCATTAAAATTTATTGTCAAAAAGACTTGGGTGGTTTGTGGACTATGCTCCGGCCTCACTTTGCTTTAAACAATGCATAATGAACCCCGCAGTGCGGAGTATTATACGAAGGAGAATATAAAATTAGACAAGGGTCTTACCTGCAGGATAATTGTGATTCTCCAAGTATAATACGCAGCACCAGGGGTTCATGGCCCACCCTCGTGCTTACGCTGTATCTGAATACCCACCCTAAAGGTGAGACCTTCGCAGCGTCACAGTGCAAGCCCGCTAAAAAGACAATGTGGGTTGGGCAAGTGGTGTCTTTTATAGTGACTCATTTGCATGACAAAGAGCTTTGAACCGTGATGGCCTGGTGAATAGTGGCGAAAATTGCATAATGAACCCCTGGTGCTGCGTATTATACTTGGAGAATCACAATTATCCTGCAGGTAAGACCCTTGTCTAATTTTATATTCTCACACTGTAGGTCAAGGCATAGTGGTGCTCGCTTGATTAACCTCAGCATGCTATAGCCATGCTTCATTGAATCATGTCACTTGATTCTTTCTTTACTTTTTTGACCTCGTGACTAAGGCAAGCCGAAAAAATGAATTATCTATTGCATGTTCTTTTATGTATTCAGTCAGTTATCGAAAATCCAATCTGTTGAAGATTTTCGGACATCAAGCTTGGCAAAATATAAAATACTGAGCTCAATGGAAAGATGGACCGATACCGGAAACACGATTACCAACTTCGTTGTTAATCTGTGAAGACGGCATTTTCGAATCATAACAGGTAGTAAAATATAGCCCTTGAAACAACTAACTATATCGATTTAGATTTTAATACACTGACAATAAGTTTATATAACAAATTTTAGAAATGAAGTTGGACATGAATTGATAAGGTGATTTGCATGAACAATAGAAATTAAGAGTACTGACGCTATAAATCCATAATTGATCGATCTCTTTACCACATTGACACATGAGAAGATATTCAAAGGATATTTTCGCTACAATGAATTTATTACCAGGCATTACAAATTCAATATGTATAGCTCTGATAATGTTTTCTGAAAATGAATTGCATGGTATTGTCAACTATGGTATTGTTATAATCAATCGCTATATATATCAACAAATGAACTCAGCTTGGAAATCAGATAACAAAAGGAGTGCATTAGGTTTCTCGCTAATCAGGAATTAACATGGTTAGAAAAGTCGGCGAACTTCAAAAATCGTATACACGTAGACTTCAATTGATTCTTTGTTAAATGAATTAAATCTTTCGTCACATGATTGAAGACAAATTGCTTTTCTTGTTTGATATATGATAATTATATAGCTACTGCGAAAATGTGGCTGTGAACGTCCAAGTTCCAAAAGCATGAAACTAACAAACAAGAGCAATGAGAGTAGACTGGGATGTGTGCATGAGCACTTTCGTCGTTGCCACACTGAACACTGAATATATAGTGTATGTATTACAGGATCGCGATGTATTCAGCTACCACAATCATGCACCGTAATTCCTCTGCCAGAGGCCAAATCCTAACTTGTTTTGAACGTTCCACTTTTAAAGGTGTTTAAACTTGCAAGGTCTTGCTCCTTTAGTCCTTTTCAAGTTATGTAAATATGCATTTGATGATTTGTGCAATGCTTTGAACAACTGTTCTAACGTCACAATCACGGCATTAATAATGAGAAAACCATGCATGATTCGTATTTGAATTTTTATTATTAATGAATTATTTTAGGGCCTAAATTTTATGATCTTATCAGGTGTTTACGGTAGGCATACAGATTCTCAAAGCAAGACTAAATAAATACACAACCTCAAGTGAACACAATGAGTACTAAAATTTCAGTTTTAGTTGCTCAAAAATTATGTAATAAAAAGTAAATGTACATATACCTCTTTTGTGAATACTGGGAAAAGCAGCATTGATTGAAAAATAAAACACAAAATGCTTCTCCTTTGGCTTTGATTCCGTACCATTTTCCAATATTATTTATAATACTTATTAGTTCCTCAAAACAATTTTTTCGAACTGAGATTAAGTGCGTATGTTTCTCTTGCGCTTGCACAAGTGAATCTAGTCGAGTTTCTGAGACAAGCAGCGTTTAAGAAGCCAACATAGCAACACAATTATTACGCCATTATACGCAGTTTGCGCAAGAGTTGGTTAACAGACGAATTATCACAGTTGGATCTTGACAAATGTGTAAATCACCTAAATTGTACATAGGATAGTGTTGAATGAGGAACATGCTGAAAAAGGATCTAAATGCCTGAGTGTATTGAGATTAAAAGTGATTAAGACAGAAAATAGGCAAAACACACAGTGCATGGCTCCTGATTGAAATATCGAATTTTGCAGAACATTTTTAAGAGATATCCGTCACTAAAACGAACTTCAGTTCTCAAACGAAAATCGTCCAGTTCACAACGATTTAGATGTCCCATCTAGTACTTTATGATATGTCTACATACGATACAGTAATGATGTTTCAATATCTTTCCTTTTCGCAATACGTCAATGCGTCATGTTTACATGATCGTTCATGTCATTAATTGTTTATATATTTTCCAGATAGACTACTTTCATTAACATACACATAACACGTCTATTTTGAATTATCTAATGCACAATGCACTCTTATATCGAAACAACTATTATTCCCCTCACTGTTGAAGCTTTTGTTAAAATCCAGGATTACGGAAATAATTGAGCACGCACATTTTACTAGAATATACGTGCAGGGCGAAAGGTAATTTTCTGTGTTTTTTTGAAATTTCACTGATGTCATTCGGTTTCATTCGTGAACAGTGGCCGCCATCTCTTCGTAGATTAAAGAATGTAGAAAGCCTAGTTACTAGTAGTTAGTGAATATTCCTTTCTGTTTTGTAATACGTATATATATATATATATATATATATATATATATATATATATATATATATATATATATATATAATATAATATATATATACAATATGTTATCAACATGTTAAGATATAGAGATGAAAACATTAAGCAATTTAGCTAAGTTTAATGAAGGGTATCTTTTACTATACGAAAAGGAATTTCTCTTATCATCATTGGACAGTGATGAAATTTCTGTATTAGGATTTACCCCCTACAATTGTTTTCACGCTATGCCCGCAGTACTCCTGTCTTCACCGTCACAAATGAAAGTGTTGTTAACAAGAACCACACATGCAGTTTGTTAAGTGTTTTTAATCATCGATTTTCTGTTGGGTTTACATGACTAAGTCTAGTTCAATGTTATCTTGCCTTGGTGTTTATTTTATGCATTAAGGTGATATAAGGCTAAGACACGCGAAGAATGACATTACAATAAGCTCACAAGAATTAAAATATTGTTGGCTATTCGCTTTTTTTCGTCTTTAATTAATGCGAGAACTGCAGTTTTTAATTTGAGCGGTACTACAGCTGCCGCTATATCTATATCTCATTAATTGACCAGCACGAAACAGCAGTCATGGAAAGCCAACAAACCTAGACACATGTATTCCCGCATGTATTCATATATCAACACATGCACAGACGAATCCTGTATTAGGACGGAAACGAATTCGAATGCTATAGCTATGTGTGTGCTCACACTTGTGAACCGGCTATCATGCCAGACATACGGATTATGGACTTTAGCATGCAGCTAGTCAGACAAACCAGTCCTCTGAATAACATAAATCACTGACTTCTATTATGGATTCACTCGTTAAATTTCGCATTTTTTTCGCAAGATTTATTTTACATGATTTATCATCGGCACGCCCCTGCACAGGCAAACTTTAAGCGCATGATTCCAGGTAAAATCACAGCACGAATTCATCAACAAAGAATTTATTGATCAGTTTGATATAATCCTATTTCTAATCTTAGCCATAACAAGTTTTTACTCCGTTTTTATATAAAGTACTTTGCATATATACAGTAGTTTCACAGGCGAGCGAGTATGTGAAATAGTACATAACACACTAACAAGCATTCTCGTCAGAACTTATAATATTCAATTACATATGATATATATCATAAAGCATATATAGTTCATTTGAGGTGCAAAGCTGAAATTAGGGTAAAACGTTTTTCACGCATCCTTTGTGCATTTTATAAATTTTACTTTTCAGATTTCCTCGCACGCCATTGAAGCGGAAGGCAGCGGCGAGGTACGAAACACCTCGGTGAGTGAACGGCTGTAGATCGTATGCGCCCGTCGTCGGGATTCTTTGGAATTTACCAAAACGACCGTCTTTGAATCTGTAGATCATGGAATGTGTTTCGAAGCTTGTGATGACATCAAAATATTTCGCAATGGTGAGATACATTATGCCATCGGCAACGAAGTGATTAACCTTGAAAACACAGCAAGGAATCAAGTTATGGGCGTCCGACCCTAATCAATCCATACATTTTTGGGACCGGTTGTATAAAAAAGAAGTTACCAACAAACTCAGGGTCGTGTACTTATTAAAGTACGATTTAATCACTACAAAAATATGGGTGCTTGCTAAACTATAGCAGAGGTGGGCGCGGTGCATATGGGCGTAGGAACCCAGGACACTGGAGGTACTGCATTCTCCTCCCCCCCCAATTTCATCTTTTCACGCCCCTCGCCTAATAGTATCTAGTTTCAACATATACCTTTATAGCTGCAGTTGTTTGCAGTTTTTGAAACAAGGCAAACTCAGTTCCATTCCATCGAAACACATTTGTCTCAGAATGCCAGGAACGCTTACTGCGATGACTCGCGAACACTAAAAACAATCCGTCGTTATTTTCAAATAAATCAACACTTATAGCCGCCGATGTTCTTAAACTCTGTGCAAAGACGAAACGGCGTCCGTTCCATTGATACACCACCGACTTAACCTTAAATCCGTCGTTGATAGAGTAATAATTTGCGAAGACTAAGAGAATCCGTCCTGCTTTGCTTCGAAAGAATTTACAGTCGACTGCACCGTGCGTTGGTATTTTTTGAAAAATCTCAAGATTTCCTCGGTTCCATCTATACACCACCGAAAATATTGACACACTCGTGTCATTTCTATAGTTTGCAAACACGAGGTAACTCTCTCCGTTTATTTCGAAGAACTCCGACGCGGATGCACCTTGTGTTTCAATGTTGGTGTAGTTCACAAACCTATGACCGTTCCACCTGTAAATGGCCGAGTCCAGCACATGTGTTCTTCCGTTATAGTGGTTCGCGGCTACTAGGTACGAGTTTCCTTGACTGGATACATACGTTATTGAACGGCAGCCAATCGTAGGTAGCGTTTGAAGCTTTTCGAATTTCTCTGAGGTTGAGTTCATCTTGTAGATAAATGAGGCTGTATTGTAACCATCCGGAACTGCATGGAAATTTGCTGCTGCGAGAAAAGTGCTTTGTCCTATGGTGAATATCTCCATGTTCACTGCTCCCTTAGTTTTTACGCGGTCATGGACATGAAATGCTAGTCGTGTTTTGCACTTCTGATTACGGACAGGGGTGTCAGTAGGTGTGAGGGTTGGTTCTGGGGTTGATAGAATAGAGCCAATCCGTGCATGGTGTCTTATTGGGGATACTGCCGGGAGAAGGTTGTTTTCGTGCCCAAGGATATCTTGAAAATGATTGAAAATACAGTTTAGCGTATACTGAAGCCTAATGTGGCCCACCGATTCTGATTTATTAGTCTGTGATGCAGATCCGCGGTAAATGACGGAAAGTAATGTGAACACAATATAAGCATCGATAATGCATGTATGAGTATAACTCGATCATAATACTTGGCGTGTGTAGAAAATGCACAGCAAATTAATGGTCTGTTCAGCTTTGCAGTGGTTAGAGAGCTGCCCTAAAAATTGCAGGCTGGCTCGCATGCAGGTGTAAGTTAGAGAATTTGCGCAGAAACTGTATTCACAATTCTTGCATTTATTTACTAAGGGATGAATCGTGTCGCAATGAAAATTTTGCTTTGCAAAAAATTGCAATACTCACCAGGTTCTAAGATTTTCTTTGCTGCCAATACTTGAAACAACTGCTGTGCTTGTTGTTTGCTGGCTACCAATTCTTCTTTCATCTCCTGGGCGTTTGTTTCGATGAACTGATATTTTGAGTTCAACTCGCTGAGACGTTTTTCCAGCTCAAAAACCTGATGAGCAAAAATTAACAGTATATAGCGTGAGGGTGGGAAACGGGGTAGTTACCCAGGGAGCCCAGGATAAAAATGTGATGAAGTTTTGATAGAGAGGTGGTGTAATAAAAGTGAATGTGCTCCGCCTTAAAAACGGGCACCACCACATGTCACCGTCTCACAACGAAGGAACCCAGAGCGAAACATTGTCCCTGTTCTGTTCAAACAAACGTCGCCAAAACTATATATATGATAGGGAAATATAGACAAAATATATATGATAGAGAAAAGAAAATTTTTGCTGTTTTTCAAAAGTGTGATACATCATGGTTATAGTTTTGAAATAAAAAGGGAAATGAAGAAAAGAAAGAAAAAATTTGCACGATCGAAAGACCCACTTTGTTGCGGGCATGCCATTGACTTAAACTCGCCAATCCTGCTAGGCCAGAGTATTCTTTCATTGCAGTAGGTTGTAAAATACTTTATTAGCGAATACTGCCTATACATTATAAATTATACTGATACTTGGCTTACTCTTTGTATTTTATTTTCTTAGCTATCTCGATCTGTACCTTATCCAGTGACCAGTTGGCAGTACAATCTCGACCATCTCTTCCTGGGGGGCCTGGATGACCTGGTATTCCGGGGGGACCTCTGACACCTACACAATGAAAAGCGGAAGAATAAAATTTAAACCCCAAACTTGAAGCTAAAGTAATTGTCGTTTCCGTCAGTTCCGTGATTTAATAATGCACAATTTACCAACCATCTCGTCCATCTCTGACAACACAGTTGCCTTGCAATCTTGTTCTACCAATCACCTAGACAAGGTAATATTCAGTTAATTTTTTACAGGAACAGCAGTGGAACAGTTTGGGAAAAAAATTGTGCTAAACTACTCTGTCACAACAGATCGAAGCAGAGACGTCTGGCTATTGTTATTCAGACATGGACGCAAAGAGCCTAAGTAGAAGTAGCTATTTCGCTGCTGAAAAAAGATGCTGCCGCCTGCCGGTTCAAATTATACAGTGGCTTATTATTCATAGTGATATCAGTTTGTCAAACTGGCGACTTCGCGAAAGTATATTTTCTGTATTTTTCAGTAATATTTCGCAACCAAACTGTGTAAGATAGATCTTACTCATTTCGATTCGATCAAAAACTTATGCAATACTAAAGTCTTATTCTACTATGACCATGGATCAATTAATGAGGGCCCCATGTTGACGTGCACAAGCTGCGCTCCGTTCTGATACCGAAGCATACCAAACTACCACAAGTATACAACTAATAAGTTCAAGATTATTGCTTTAATGAATGATGTAATAAAAAGTAACAATATACCTTTTGTGAGAACAGTGGTAAAAACAGCAGTGATTGGAGGAAGCAGCAAATCATGTTTCGCCTTAAAATCTGCACCATTTTCTCTGTTATCAGTTTTTCTTATCTTCTTTAAAATATTGTTTCTTCAACCGAGATTAAACGGCTGTGTTTCTCTCCTGTGCGTGCAGGTAAAACTGGTCCAGTTTAATGAATCACGCAGCTTTAATAAGCAGTGGGGACCAATACGATTATTAATCGGCTTTGAATTGTTGGCATACAAGACCGTTAACTGATCAATTATCACAGTTGAATCTTGACAAATGTGCAAATTATGGGAATTGCACTTCGAAAAGAGTTGAGTGAAACACATGCATGCCAAAGCATATATAGGTACTTAAACGCAAGTGAAAGATAGAGTTAGAAAGATGGTAAAACATATGGACTTCTACTTATCACATATCACATGCCATTTAATTTTTTTTTCGGACTATATAGCGTTAAAGGACTGTTTCCGAAATAATCTGACCTACCGGACTGATTTAAGTCACGAAAATCTTCCCTATCCCGTGAACTATAAAATTTAAAAATATGAATCGTCTTACACGGCAGGTTTTGCATTCATCGTCCCTTCATCATCCAAAACTTTGTAAAGCCACCGTAATATGCGAGATAAGATACATAAAAAGCAAGGCAAATTTATTTGAATGGCTGTCACGCTTCCCAAAAAACTATCTCCTGGATCTAGTCAACTATCACCAGCGCCGTTTTAGAGCTTATAGATGACAGATAAATATTAAGTCAGAGATGGCATGTTGTTTTTGTTGAAGATTTAGGAACATTCAGGGATCAAAAATATTCCCGGACACTCACCTCACACGCAAGTTAGTAAAAAAATCCATACCTTTCCATTGAATCTTTTCGTCGTAATACGTTCAGGATATTAATTTAATGCAGGATACTCATTACAAAATTAAGTTGCCTAAGTAAAACATCTTTGAAACTAAGAACTAGATTTTAGTCGAAATCATTCATACTTTTATATTTCGCTTCATTTGTCTGGACTGAAAAATTATCTTGTTCTTCACAACGCTGTACGTACCTGAATTAAATCGTTCTATATATTTTTATATCTATAGAAGATGATGAAAGTACACCGTAGTAAATGATACGAGTACTCAGTCTGCACTTTCGAGGAACCTCGAACTCTTTCGTCTGTAGGATTATGGTAATTTTATTGGCTTTAGCTTTGGCTTTGGAATTGGTCGAGTTTAGTGAGTTTCCTGGATCTGAAGAATACTCGGCTTTGATGTGATCTTGTTAGCTGGAGGATTGGAGGAACATTATAGGATAATACTTCTGATAATATGTTATAATTCTTCCGCTAATGTAAAATTTTTCTTGACTTCTTGGGCACAAAAAACTAAGTCGTGCATACAAAAACACCAATAAGCCGGCGAAAGGCCGGAAAAGCTTTGGTGCTAAATTCGTCATCAAAAATGATCGAGCCGCCTAACAGCCTGTAATGTAAACAAACTCTTTGTTTACATTTTGAACCGTTTCCCAAATATAATGTCTCTTCAGAATATTTAATACCTTTTGGATTTTGGTTTTCTCAAGATGGAGTTTATATGTCATTCAAAATTCTTAAATCATGGAGTCTCTGGCTTAATTATGAAAAAAACTGTTGGGCGAAACCGCTGCAACATCTCTATTAACTCTCCTCTACAGGCTACAGCCATTTGTATTAAGTATTAGATACACAGCCAATGTAGTAAATTTACAAAGATGGAAATGGTAGGTAGATGGTAGGTAGATGAACACTTTCACATCTGCATGCGGTTTAATTAAAGCACAAAAGCTGAAAAACGTTTTCTTCTATCATAACATTATACTCTGTTCATTTGTAACATACATGGAAACCACACTTTAATTAAACTCGTAGCAATTAGGCCTGCATCGAAGCTCACATGTTCCGGCGATCTTAACTTTTCCATATAGACATATTTATTGACATGTTTGACTGTTTTTTACTGACTATTTCAACTTCGACCCCAGTCTCAATACCATAACCGGAATTCAAAATGGCCGCTTACTCAGAGGTTTTTCATAAACAGTGCTATAAACCATAAACAAAGGTTTGTCAAGTCCTTTTTTAGTTGTCAAGCAATTTTTTGTACTCCGTTTCTTCTTATTTTTCTTTACATGCTAATTTTTAACCTCAGTTTTATTTGTATCATCGGGTGAATTATGAATATTTCTAAAATTTAAATTTTATTTATTGTAATTTTAAATATTATATTGTATTATAAATCGTTGGTTGTTGTTGGTTGGTTTAATATGGTTGTCAGGTTTCTACATTAATAAATCTTTTTTGACAGCTTGATGTAGTTATAATGGATTTTCTACAAGCTGAAATCGAGAGAAAAGCAAAGCAGTTGAAACAGAATGAAGTTACTGCTGTATGTTTTATTGTAATTTGTATTAAAACTGTACAATACATCATAAATTAATATATTTTAAAACTACCTGGACATTCTGCACCAGAGATCTTTTTAAAAATCAACTAACCTTTGGTAATTTTGTATTATGGTCTGCCTTCCAAATTCCTGAATCATTCAGTTCCCAACAAGATCTTGGGTGCAGAGAAACTATAAAGTGAATGCATAGCCAGGATAGTTTGGGTCAGGTTGAAGGGACTTGTTCTGTTTTGAAGGATGGTCAGTACATGTAGGCAGCACACTTATGCAACACCTAGAGGCAATAGCTTGAAAAACTCCATTATTATGTAGCTAATGCACACAATGCAATAACGGTCACAAGGTATCATATGATTTAAGAACATAATACTTTTTAAATTCCCTCTTTGAAGTTAAAGTCTTTTTATAGGGGTAAATGATTCCTTAGTATTTCTAACAATGGTTGTGTAGTTTTATCGACCTCATTTATTGCAGTTGTTACAATGAAATGCAGTGATTCAATTGATTGCAATTTTTATAGTGTTTACATTCTTTTCAATTATTATAATTACAGGCCCTATCTAATTTTAAAATTACCCTTGTTTTATATTTTGCTGTCCTAAAACATGACCCAGACAATTAGCTAATAGACTCAAATTTAAGTATCAAGTATGAAACTTTTGCAAGTGACATTATAGTTTATACTTTTTGCCTTCTGTCATTTTTCTTGGCACAAACCATGGAATGTAACTGAGAGTGTTTCAAGGATTTGTTTTAATCTGTTAAATGAAAGGCTCATGCCACCCAAGATGGTGGATTACTTTTGTGATACTTACCCCCTCAAAAATCAAAAATCAATAAAAAAACATTAGTCCGGCTCTCATACACAAATTCCCATCCACCCATGCAAAAACACCATAACTTGTGAAATTAATTACACTAGTTGATTGAAGGTTTATGAAATAAAAATAAAAAACAAGTTTTATGAGGTACATACACTATACACATCCTTGCACTCATCTCTCACTCCTACATTTTTGGCACAGCCCCCAAATTTTCAGCATGCTCTAAGATCACACTTACAATAAAAAATAGGATTATGAAAAAGATTGATCATGTGTAAAATTGTTTGCTAGTTGCATTTGCAAAGTGGGAGGCAAAGAATACCACTGTTATTTGCCATATTTTTAACACATTTGTTAATAGAGTAATAATGACACGAGAACCTCAACTTATAAACAAAGGCATTTCTAGAAGTTGAAGCATCAAAAGTTGTTTTGTTGACTGCTCAAAGTTTTTTTATTATTCATGTACATGGGTAGTCTATAATCACAGAGTGTCACAGGCATGCAAGTTTTATTGGTGTGTAGTCATGCAGTGTATAGGAACAGTGCCTGCTGAAGGCTGACTTATGTATATTTACTATGTGTCTCATATTTTTTCAAAGGAGAAAAAATATTTCCGTCGAGGGGATTTGGAAAAGCAGAAAGCAGATGAGTACAAGAGAAAGCAAGAGGTTGGTTTTCATTTGTCAACATAATATAGCCTCTTTGATAAGTAGATTCCGTTTGTGGGGCTCTTCAGATAAGAATCACAGGATATTCAGGTCAGATTGTGTGATAATCCCATGTCTGGTAATCTGATAGAGGAACTAGTATCGGTTCTTACTGTACCTAATAAAGGTTCAAATAAAGATTATTTTTATTATGATATGAACATGGGAGTATCTAACAGTTTTTTCACTTTAAATGTTGCTTGAGATGCGAGCAATATGGAAAAAAATGGATTTAAATTTGTAAGCCAGGCTTTTGCAGATATGACTGCACTAAGTATACAGTTGTTGCTTCTCTGGTCAATGATCGAAAATACTCTGCTATTTTTGTACATTTCAAAGTTCTAGTCTATCGTCCTTAAAACGTTAAATGTGTAAAATATTAGAAATGTATAGTCATCAAATTTGAAACTTAGAAAATCTTCTCAGGGAGAAGAGTTAAGCAGGAAGACAAGGATCATAACGAGATTATTCCAACCTTCATTGTGATGATGCTACTCATGAGTGTTTTGCACGATTACTATCTAAGCTTCAATCAACTTCAAAATCAATTGAAGTGCCCGTCGATAAAAATCAGATAAGAGAAACCAAAACTTGCAATTGATCTTCTTCATCGGAATCTCAGCGTTCTTATAATCCTCCGAACCCGGGCGTTTGAGCTAGAAAAGTTTCTTGTACTGCCATGAATGCTTCAAAATACGATTGTTATTTCTCTCGCTGAGGAGAATATTATTAGCAACTGCAGTTCATTGAGCAGAAGGTATACGCGGATATCACACGTGTTTAAAAAGATAAGCTATGGAGGCAGATAGTCTTCAATCGTGAGAAAGATGCCTGGAACAATATAACTGAGATAAAATTGTTGATGGCTCATGAGACATTTTTTTGCATCTGTTGCTGACGCAAATCAGACGACCCGACACGTCATTTATCACGAGAGCAAGAAGTGGTTATTTGTAAAGAAAAACCAACCTTAAGTCTGTTTTCAACTAGGTGAAGTTTTTTTCATGGAGCTGAGAAACATCAAAGACGAAATCAGCCATAATTACCTGAAAAGTAACCAATCAGTCAACCCTTGCCCCTCTCTACAATATGTCGGTTTGCAGCAAGCCTGCGTTTCCATGCAAAAAGGCGATACTGCCCTTTGCTTTCAATAAATGAAAGGTTATTACACAGCAATGATGCACTTTATGCTTCACTTCAATTATTTTTTTTTTCGAAGTGCTAGATCCGTTTCTTGGTCTCGTAATTAGTTTATACAGTTCTTGCAGGTCTTTCGCAGGTTTCGCTTAGTCATAGTAAATAATTTTGATTCAGGATTTTACATGCAGCAGGAACTCTGCCCGGCAAACATGTATACAGTGTCAGTCTCGCCCTAAGCTTAACTTCATCTACGCATCATCACATCATCTTAAGCTCTACGTATATCATCGTATCCTGTGATATGGGATGTGATACAAGGGATATAACGTGATTGCAAACGAATAGCATACAAGGCTGGTATTCAAACTACCTTGAACGCACGCCCTAAATCAATACCTTTGGTCTCCGTTAGTTCAATTAATATATTTGCAACAAAATTATTTATAACTTCACATCGAATTTTTGTTGTATAACAACTGCTTAAAATAGACCAGAAGGCAGAACACTTCTCGACGTTTGACTTAAGGGCCTTCGACATGCTAACTTTCTGACGAAGGCCCTTGGATCGAAAGAAGTGTTTATCTATTTTAGGTACTTGTTGATTGTACCATATTTGATGCGAAGTTGTTTGAAGACGCTTCCATGCTGATCCCTAGCTATGTTGAAATAACTCTCGAAAGTGTACAGAGGAGTTTATAACTAGTTATGCATGAGCCATCTGCACTGTTATACTTCAGTCGTTGAAAAAGAAAATTATATCAGAAACCCTAAGTGTATTTTACCCTTCTTTAAATACGAACAGTTTAGCTTTGTAACTATCGATTGAAAACCAGCCTGCTCTGTTACGCAGTTCAAAAAGCTTCATATTCTTATCTCAATTTAGGCGAAAGTTTCTGCCAAGCTAGGAAAACATGTGAGTAATATACTTTTTTTCAATTATCAGATCGTTTAAGTGTCGTCTGAGTGCATGCTCTCAGATTGTGATGAATGTGATCGTTAATTGTTTTGGCAATTCTCCGTATGAAATTACATTATTTCAAATGTAGAGTTTAGTGAAGGAATTTGGCAGGGCTTTTTATAAAGTTTATAAGTATTAAAGTATAGACTTATATAAACTATATATAATGCTTATAAGTATAGATATTTTTGCACACACATGCAGACACGTCAGATGCAATAATTTTGATATTAAAGGGACTTGATGCAGAGGAAGAGAAATCTTCAGATATTTTTGCGAAGAAAAGGAAAAACAGCGAAGACGAGGCCGCTGCATTGAATCTGCTTCCAAAAGATGAGGTAGTTGGAAAATGATCTTTGAGAAACAGTGTGGCAGTTTCTGAGTTATAATATTTTTTAAAAAATCGTTATTCATACAACTTGACATTATACTAGTGAATTTCCTGATACCTGCTGGCCACATTTTTTTTATTATTTTTTTGTATGTTTTGTTCATTAACGGATTTGTCGGTTCGTAAGGTAAAATATAGCGTTCTCGAATGGAGGGGGTGGGCGATATATAATTTAAGGAAAAGTTGCCGAATCGTCCGAATCTAGGAAGAGCTCCAATAACCCCCTCCCTCCCGCTATAAGGCACATGCTCCGATAGAATACATGTACCTTACTCTAAAGAAATTACCGTATTAGATAAATTGTTTACATAGAAATAAATGGTGGGGTTTTTTGCAATAATAGTTGATGAAAACAACATGAGAGATAATTGTGACAGCCCGTCTCGAAGTGATTGGAGTGTATTGGGGCAAAATGAAATTAAATTCATAAATTTGTTTGTTTTTTAAAGGTTGTTCGTCGCCTTAGGGAAAGGGGTGAGCCCATCCGACTGTTTGGTGAGTCGGATCAAGAGGCAGCAAAGAGATTGAAGTAAGTAAAAAACTGCTCTAAGTCGATTTGGTTTGGAATTGTGAAAAGAAACTGAGAACAAAAATGAAATTCGGACTTTTTCACATCGGTTCAATTGACAAAATAGAGAGCTTACCTACATTGTGTCTGTTTTTCATGGCTTACAATTCTGAATTATCCACGTTTGTTTACATCATGTCTCCGTTTTGAAAAATTATTTATGTTGTAGATTGCTAGAGATGTTGGCGCCTGACATCAATAAAGGTTTAAGAAATGATTTCCGTGAAGCCATGGAGCAAGTCGATCAAGACTATCTGGATGATATGTTGAAGCAACAGCAGGTAGCATTGGTAGTTACACATGGATTGCACTGTTTAGTCAGTAATACATTAGGCAAATAAGACCCAGACCCACTGGGTGCTAAGTTGTAGAACGCGATTTTTGCTTTTCGAATCGAAAAGCTTTCTCTAAAAGAAATTTTAGAAAGCATTAAAAGAATAGAAGAAGAATAGTTAAACGAATATAGAAAATAATAGTATGTAGCTCGTTATCACAGCTGGTTATTAAATATGCCTATTATTGATTTTGAAAGAATACCAGCACTTCAGACGCTGATCAAGAGAACATCATCAAAGTGAAAAATGACGGAACAACATTTGAAAATATTCAGGTAAATTCATGCTTAAAATCTGCACGAGACCAACCGATGTCCGCTCTAATATTCCCATGTCAGGTTTGTTCATTTGCCATCCAAGGCCAGTTTTACGGATAAGCCAATTCACGGAATACTGTGAAAAATTGCTCCTGGTTTGGTTTAAACAAATTTAAATCTTTTCGAATTATTGTGTCTATATTTCTAGTTTATAATCTTTTAATTTTTTTATCGAGGTTTGAAAATTTTACCATCCAGTTGATAGCGCTCTCCAGTTCATCCTATCACGTTGACAAATAACAGAAAAAACTATAGTTCCAACCGTGCGGTAT